TGCCGAGTGTACGGCTGCTTCATGCACATTTTGGGTGAATAAATTTCAATTTTTGAGAGGTTTCGGTATTCGGTTCGAGTTTGGTTTGAGAGTTATACGGTTTGGTTTTTCAATTTTACAAAAATACATATGGTTATTATTTTATATTCGTCTAAATTCGTTTCTTATTAAAAAAAATAGATTTTCTTAACAAATTTTTGGTTTTTCAGGTTTTTTTAAAAAATTGGGTTCGTTTTTTTTAAATCACCATTCAAAAACTCTAAATAGTTCGATTCGAAAATGATATCAAAATTTTTGGTTTAATACGATTTAGTTTTAAAATATCGTATGGAAACTTCTACCCTAATTTTTTGTTAGGGGTGTGGCCGTGGTCGGCTGTGTTCGATCATATCATCCAATCTCGGTCTTCGTGAAGGTCGAAGGTCGGTCCGGTCCGGTGGCCAGTTGGACATTTTGTTTCAGTATTTCCGTATACTGATTTAAAATTGCTTTGCCATTTTTTTATACGACCCTTTAATTCTGTTAATTTTAACTATATTATTTTCAAAGAGCCGTGGATTAGTTCCGTTAATGAAAGTTGGTAATTTTTAATTAGAAATGAGTAATTGTGAATGTTGAAATTAGAGTCCAAGCACGTTTGTTATCTCACGTAAACAATACATTTTGTGTGTTTGCTTGATATTTTATTCAGGCAAGCACAAATTACATGACCCAACCATGTTTTCATCGTTGAATTATAGGCGACAATTAGGGATGAAAATTTTCATTTTGGTATACAAATTAAATCGAATAATATCAAATCATCAATTTTTTCGTAAAAATTGAAAAACTACACTAATCGAATTCGAATAAAGTTTCAAATATAATATAATGGATTTTCTTATTCATCAAATATCCAAAACAAATAAAAAAATATATTTATTCACTTAACCAAAATCATGAAATGCCAAATGAAAATAGTTTTTTTTATAATAGAATTCAAGCAGAACAAAAATTAATATAAAATTAAATTATATGATATTTGAAAAAAAATCAAACTTAGAATTAACTCAAACAAAATGAAAAAATATTGTTATGGTTGTAACTTCCTCTTGTTTTTATTTCTATTAAAAACATAATCATTATTTCAATTAAACCATAACGTCATCCTCAAGGTATAAAATCTAACTCTTATACTTTATTTATTTTTAATTATAAGCCATTATCTCTATCTTTTTTTTTTGTCTGGAATCTTGTAATTTGGACCGAGGTTTTAGGATCCCAAATAATTCTATTGGAATACGACAAAAAAAAAGGGCATCGTGCCTTTTCCGACCTTGTTACTCTGTTATAAAGCAGAGTGCCTACCCAGACCAAATTTAAATAACTCGATTTCCGGTTCAATGTCGGTTCTGCATTTACTCTGGTTATCACTCGGTTTAGTCCGTTTTCTAATTTACCAGAATGCCATTAATGATGCACTCCAATTCAAAGCGCGTTCGAAGCTTCTGATTCTCCCGGAGTCTTTGAGACTCATGCAAAGTTTCTCAAACCTTCTTCTTTTCTCGGGGAAAAAAAAACAAACAAACAGCAATAGGTTCCACATAAGAGTCCCGTTAATCAATTCACGAGTTCCAACATATGGTTATATATTTACTTGATATTCCTGTTCTTGTTCTGTTTGGATACACTTATATGCTATGTTTTGAATCCATCAAGCCACAATAGTTGCATATACAGATTTACAAGCTACACAATAATAATAATTCATAGCAACCACTTTAATAAATATAGGACAAGACCCAAAGACTTTGTCTATATTTTCTACGTGTCTTTAGGGCCAAAACCCACCATCGACCTAGAGGCTAAATAAAGTTCATTATTTTTCCCCCCTTGGCGTGCCATATGGGGCAAAGGAGGAGAAATACCAAAAACCCATTATTATTTTTGACATTTCAAAGTCTTTTCTCCGCCACTTTGGCATTTCTTTGTTTTTGAAATGGTCAATATAAATGATAGGAAGCACAATGTTCTCTAACGCATCCCAAGTAATGGCCAAGTTTTTCTACTTTGTAGTTGTAGCAGCGTTTCTGCTCTTTACGCTGTCCGGATTCTGGGAAGAAGGGTTCAAGGCCGTGGCTCCACGACAACGACGTTGGTCCCTCTCTTCCCCATCTCTAAACTTGAACTAGAACACCATCTCTCGATGTTTTAAGCGATGATATCTGATCGTTTATCGGTACTTTTGTTGACATAACAAACCACGTTTTCGACAAACAGGTTTGCGGAGAAAGGACCTGATTGAAAGGCTGTTCCTCGGACCCGTGTTTCTTCGTCTCGGATTCCATGAAGATCAGGAGTACTTTAGGTCATCTTTTCTGCTATAGTGGTGTTGTGTACAACAAGATCCATGGAATGTAATAATAGATAAGCTTCAAGTAGGGTCATAAGAATAACTGGTTCATCTTGCCTGAAACACGGGAACTCTAAACCGTGTTCTTGGTCTTGTTCCATGGAGTAAGTTACCAAACTGATGTTTCTTATCTCTTGACCAAGAACATGTAGAGCCTTAATTCTTTCCATCATATATATATATATATATATATATATATATATATAAACATCCATCTGAAGAATCTAAGCGATAACAATCTAACAGTTCGTTTATTTTCTGCAAAATCGGGAAAATATAATAGTTTTTTTTACGGATCAATCGAATCAAGATCGTGTAAAGGGCGTGCATTTTGAAGGGAAGCCATGTATGATCTCTTCGTCAACCTCACAGTCACAGCTCTGAGAAAGAGATGAATACGACAGCTTCTTCAGGCTTCCTTCTTGGCGGCAATAATGCAGCCTGAAGAGCTAAATCTTTCAGCCATCTCTATCTATCTTCTTCTGCCTCTTATCAGTCACCTAACTATCAAGCTGTTTCAATGCCCGATCTTCTGTTTTCTTCCCGGGTTCTTCCGCTTTTGTTCCTCATCCGAAACATAATCTAATCTTCATCCTCTTCAACAGGAGGAGGAGTTTCTGATCCATACTCGCAAGCATAGTTGAGACACTGTTAATTCCTCCTCCTTCTGGTCATTAGATGAATCTTTGCCACTTGATCTCGACTGTAACAGCAACTATGACAACAAACACAACAAAACAAAGATCAATACTTTGACAACAAACAGGATTATCAATGGCTTCAATACATAGGTAAGGATATGGATTCCTCCCAAGAACAGAACACGCAACTGAGAAAAGGAACCTAATCCTGGACTATCACTGTCCCCCAACTTCAAATGATATTTAGGTAATACAGATTCACGTAACAGAGACTGAGAGCACATATATCACTACGATTTCATCGGGGGAAACCAAATTATTCCACAGAATCGAATGAAAAACGAAACGAATCGCCTAAATTCGCGAAACCCAGAATCCAGAGCCCAAACTAAACAAACCCAACAGCGAAATTCAAGTTGAATCGACGAAATTTTCATGAAATTAGGCCGCTCACATCTATTGATGTCTGGATTTGAAAACTGAAGTGGATCTCAGATTTGCCCGACAGAGAGGCTAGGTTGGGAAACAGAGAGAAGAAAAATGATGCAAAACAGAGAAGACAACGAGAGAAAATTTTGCCTCGCCGGCGATGAAGAACTCCGAGACGGAGACGGCGGCTGTAGCGGAGGAAACTGAGCGACGGAGAAACCTAGTTACGTTACGGTACATTATAGTTTCATTTTCCCCCTAAATCTGTTAATTGCATTTGTAAACATTTTATTTTATCATAAGGTAATTTTGAAATATATTGTTTTTACAACTAATAATCAGTCTATCTTGTTGTTTTTTTTTTAAATTAATTTTGATATTTGAAATTTGTTATACTATATGATATACATTAGGTTTTAAATAGATTTTTTTTATAAATTAAGTTTTTATGTGTTTATTGTTGTGTTATTGTATTTCAATCTTCCAATACTTTCTAACTTTTGTTTTGTTCAAATTTTAAAATTTGATCAAATTTGGCTTGGTCATCCAAATGTGTATGTGTATATATATATATATATATACACGGTCTTTAACGAACTTTATCTCTTATTAATTTTATACATAATTAGAATTAGGGAGTGGCCGAATGAAATGGAAGTAGGCGACCGTATACAAATCATGTACAACCTTTTTTTCATGTAAAAAAATTAGTAATACATGATAAATCATAAACATATAAAATAAAATAATTTACATCAAGAATTCAAAATGGTTTTCAACGAAATTATATTAGAATCAATATTTCATTATTACTGCTTAATTTTTTTGCCCATTGTTTTGATCACCACTTTGTGTGATTACCAAGAAATTCAGTATCTCATTAATTAATACGAAAAAAAAACACACACGGAAAAACCGTATCTCACTGTATTTTTTAGGAGGATGATGTGTGGATATTTGTTGCTTGACTGACAAGCAAATTGAGCAATATATATATATATATATATATATATATATATTATATGAACCGAACTAACGATCGGAAAAGTTCATAGGGTTTCATAATTCAGCTCAGTGATTTGGGAACATACATGGAATCTAATATACGATTTGGTCGTGCGCCTCTCTATTTAATCACATGGGAAAATATCATATCATAACCGGCATTTTTCACAGATATGTATTCACGATTTCACGTAAACTGTATTTAGTACACAATCATACACGTATAACATGACGTGGAAATTTTGTTCCCAAAGAGTCGAATCTCGTTTAAAAATGCATATTTTTGCAACCTTTTAACGGTAAAATAAATCTCGAGGTTTCTTTATAATAAATTTGAATCATGAAAAAAGAAATTTCTGAAAACAACCAGTTTCTATTTTTATCTGAAAAAAAATACTTTTTTATCAATTTAAAATTTAAAAATCATTGTAAAACTTATGGCGAAATAACCATGGATTATATCATAGGTAATAAAATCTATCAAAATCAAATGTGGATGAAATATCTTAATAAGATTAATACATGAACTATCAACTTGCATGTTAATTAGTTTGGTAAACGACCTAACTAACGTGTAATTAAGAAACACAAAGACAAAGTCACAAACGAATCTAATTCAGAACAAAACAAAGGCATCACATGAAGAGTCCTTTTCATAATTTTCATCATTGCAATCAATCGATTAATTAATTAATTAACGTTAAGCACCGTTAACTACAGAGTCTTAATTACATTCCAAAGTCGGTCGCACATAACAATTAATGTTCCATGAGTTTGGTCACTCCTTTGAATATTCAGAGGAGGAGACTTTGAAGGCAAAGCATCATGGAGATTGGAGACGTATATACTTAAACCCCATACAAAAACAATACATATATATATAATACAATTTCAACATCGATTTTTAATGCTCAATCTTTGGTTGACTCAACCGGTAAGATCTGAACCAAAGTTCCTTCCCAATCCAGGTTCGAGTGTCTATTTGAAGAAAGATATTGATCTGGGTTTTTCCGATTTTTCGAGAGATGTAATTGAGCTAAATATTCCGGATTATAAAAAAAAAATCGACTTTTAAGGTGTTTTTTGTTTAGTGTTCTTGAAAAGAGGGGAATAGGTAGGGACAAAGAAGAGAAATAAATGAAGGGGAGAAAAACGGAAAAGGGGCTTTCAGAGAGGGATGCCATGTTGTCGCAATGGAACAGGTAATATAAACGCGTCCATTTCACTTCTTCGTGTTTCGTTATGTAATAATCACATGGCCCGACATGTTCTTCATCAATAATCCCCACTACACCAAGGAAGGGGACCCAAAGAAGATAAATTCTTGTTATTTTCTTCTTTTAATTGGTCTCACCATCAAATATTATAATTATAATTATATATATATATATATATATATACACACGAAGATTACACATGATTAGGGCATTTCTTTTTGTGTGTAATATCAAAGGTAACGGCGTAAGGAGATGAAAGCTGCAAAATGACGCTAGTGGGTACAATTTTAGATTTAAGAAAAATAGAATGTATAGATTTCAAATATATTTAATAACTTTAATTTTTTTATAGACAATCTGAATAGACCTCCGGTTCATACATTAATTCTAATGTTCACACGTATACAGATATATCTGGTGAATGCTATACGCGCATACACTGCAATAGATTATAATAAAAATCATATAATATGTTCATTCACTCCCCACCTAAATAGCATATGATGTCGTAAGAAAAAAGAATATTAGGTTTCCACTAGTTAAATTAAATTTGTTTTACACAAATATAACCTATTTTTAGTGAATTTTTTATACAGCAGAAAATAAATATAATAATATATAAAATTCCCACATTTTCTGATTGATTGATAGCTTCGTTTAAAAATTTAACCTAATCGAATAATAACTAACATATCCCAAAATGGTAGGAGACATCATATTCCAAACTCTTCTAGGAAAAAAATGGTTTATGAATATATATAGCAAATTAGCAATGGAGACTCCACAAATCTTAACGACGGAGACAGAAATAAACGATTCACATGGGATGGAGATTCCGATGATCGAACGGTCAGAAAAAATTCAAGAGAAAAAAGGAGAGCCGTAGGATGTGTGCCCTAATCCAAGTGATAATGCTGGTCTTTATAAAGTATCATAAAAGACCAAACAGCCCCCACTTCTGTTTCTCATGTGACCGACCACCATCTCCTCTCTTGACCTGTCTTTGTCCCCACCTTGTCTCCTCCACCACCAAATTTTATTTTATTTTTTAAATTATTATAATTTAGTTTTTGAAATTAAACTCAACTACGTGTCTATCTGTCATTGGCCCTCCTCTGTCTCACGCGTGGAACTCTCCTACGATATATATAAAAAGCTCAACGAACAACGGTAATGTTACAAGAGAACGAGAAGAAGAAGAAGAAAAAGGAATATCCCTATTTGTTCATCATTCGTAACTCATAACAAGAGAAAGCAATCAACAAAAAAGAAGAGATGGGTCTTGGACTTGAGATCACGGAGCTGAGATTGGGTCTTCCCGGAGATAATGGCGGCGAAAAAGAGACTTTCAAGAAAAGGGTTTTCTCCGAAATGTCCAGTGAGGGTGAAAACGACGACATCTTCGGACAAGTGGTTGTTTCTTCTCCGGCGGCGAAGATTCCGGTGGTGGGTTGGCCGCCGGTGTGTTCTTATCGGAGGAGGAACAGTAGTTGCAGAGATCAAGCCTCCAAAGGGTACGTGAAAGTGAGCATGGACGGTATCCCATATAGAAGGATATTATTGTACTTTCAATACACACAATTAGGGTTAATACTTGTATAAATAACTCTCCTATTGTAATATGTTTCATTAAGCAAAGTTAATACATTATATGGTATCAGAGCCACCGCTAACCCTAGCGTTCGGTTCCTCTTGCTTCTGCTCGTCGCCTCATCCGACCACCACCGCGTTCTCTTCTCGGCATCATGTCTGCTCCTACGACGCCGACCGCTGCTCCGCACGTCACCGCCTCGGATGCAAGCACTGTGATTGAAATTCAATCACCGGGTAATTCCCTTCTCCACGTCAACATGTCGTCTATCACTAAGCTCACGCCGTCTAACTTCCTCACGTGGAGTCTTCAAGTTCGTGCACTCCTTGAAGGCTACAATCTAGCCTCGTTCATTGATGATACCGCCGTTGTGCCTGCCGCCTCTGTCACGATTGACGGGGTACCTCGGGACAATCCCGAATTTTGCTCGTGGAGGCAACAAGACCGTCTCCTGTTTTCGTCTCTCCTCGGCACAATCTCGGCTTCTCTACAGCCTCTCGTCGCTCGATCCAAGACCACTCTTGATGCTTGGAATACGATCGCCAACACATATGGCAAGGCGTCCCGTGGCCACCTTCTTCAACTTCGGGATCAAGTTCGGAAAAGTGTTAAAGGATCTCAAAGCATGGATGAGTATCTCCGCTTTATCAATGCTAAAACCGAGGAACTCTCCCTTCTCGGTAAACCGATGGATCATGAAGATGTTCTTGAGGCCATCCTTGATGGTCTTCCGGAGGAGTACAAACCTATCATTGATGCCGTCAATGCTCGGGACACTGCAATTTCGATTGAGGAACTTCATGAGAAGCTTCTCAACCATGAGGCCAAGGTACTTCTCTCACAATCCATCTCGGTATCGGCATCCTTTCCTATCTCGGCTCATACCACCGAGACGAGGTCTCGCCAAGCTTCGCGAGGCACTTCTCGGCCTCCTTGGCATCATCGTCGCTCGGGATCTTCCTCTCATCCGAAACCCTATCTTGGCCGCTGCCAAGCATGTGGTGTCCAAGGCCACACAGCAAAACGGTGTCCACAGTTTCGCGTGATTGCTGCTTCGGGTTTTCCCGAGGCCTCGGCTTCGCCTTCCTGGTCTGCCTCTCCTCGGCCGCAACCTCCTTATGCCAATCCGGCTATGCATTCCAACTATGATGCTCAACCGTGGCTTCTTGACAGTGGTGCCTCTCATCACATCACTACCGATCTTCATAATCTTGCCATTCACAATCCGTACACCGGTGATGATGCTGTTGTTGTTGGTGATGGTTCGGGTTTATCCATCACTCACTCTGGTTCACTCTCATTGCCTCTTGACTCTCGCTCTCTTCATCTTCATGATGTGTTATGTGTACCTACTATGTGCAAAAACCTTATATCAGTTCATCAGCTCTGTCGCGCTAATGATGTCTCTGTGGAATTTTTTCCATCTTACTTTCAGGTGAAGGATCTCAGCACGGGGGCGCCGGTTCTCAGAGGACCAAGTAAGCATGGCGTCTACGAGTGGCCGTCTATCACCACCTCTCCTTTGTCAGCTTGTGCACTGTCTTGTGTTAAGTCCACTTTGTCCGAGTGGCACTCTCGTTTAGGACATCCTGCACTTCCTATTTTGCGTTCTATTATTTCTACTTTCAATTTGCCATTGTCTCGGGATTCTTTCTCTGATTTTTGTCATTCATGTAGTAGCAATAAAAGTCACAAGCTTTCTTTTTCGGAGTCTTCGATCAAATCTTCTCGACCGCTTGAAATTATTTTTTCTGATGTATGGACCTCTCCTGTGCATTCGAATGATGGTTTCAAGTATTACGTACTTTTTGTTGATCACTTTACTCGCTACTCATGGTTATTTCCGCTCAAACACAAATCTCATGTCCGTGACACATTCATTCGTTTTAAATCTCTTGTTGAAAAGCGGTTTGGCACGAGCATTACCACATTGTATAGTGACAATGGTGGTGAGTTTATTGCCCTCCGCTCATTCCTCGGTACTCACGGCATCTCTCACCTCACTACCCCACCTCATACTCCCGAACACAATGGCATTTCTGAGCGTCGTCATCGTCATATTGTTGAAACTGGTCTATCGCTTCTCATGCACGCATCTCTTCCCGTGTCCTATTGGTCTTTTGCGTTCACCACTGCGGTTTACCTCATTAATCGCATGCCCACTCAAATTCTTGGTATGGTTTCTCCGTTTAAGTGTCTCTTTGAGTCTGAGCCAAACTACTCTAAACTTCGTGTCTTTGGTTGTCTTTGCTATCCGTGGCTTCGACCGTATACCTCACATAAACTTGAACCTCGTTCTAATGCGTGTGTGTTCCTCGGTTACTCGCCTACACAAAGTGCCTATCTGTGTCTTGATCCTATTAAGTCTCGTCTTTATGTCTCTAGACACGTTCAATTCCATGAACAAGTCTTTCCTTTCTCGGCACCTACGTCATTCTTTCCATCTAGCCGCTCTTCGGCTCCCGAGTCCATTCCGGACGTGAGCTTCCCCTCTCACACAGTTATTCCTACCCGACGGCCACTTGTCTCGCCTGCTCCTGTTCAGCCCTCGACCTCGGATCCTTCATCTCCATTGCCGACAGTTGTCCGAGCTCCTTCTCCTCCTCCGGAGCCGTCGGTTGCTGCTGCACCATTGGTTTCTTCTGCTCCACGCAACCGCCATCCTATGCAGACTAGATCGAAGTGTGCCATTCATAAACCGAATCCGAAGTATGCGCTTATGGCTGCCTCTCCTCCTGATTCTGTTGAACCGGCCAATATCTCTCAGGCTCTCAAGGATCCTCGTTGGAGAGCCGCCATGAGTGATGAATACGATGCTCTCCTTCGTAACGGTACGTGGTCTCTTGTTCCCGACTCAGAGGCTCTGAATGTAGTTGGTTGCAGATGGGTCTTTCGCATTAAACGAAAACCCGATGGTTCGATAGATCGATTTAAGGCACGTCTGGTTGCCAAGGGGTTTCACCAACGTCCTGGCATTGATTTTCATGAGACATTCAGTCCGGTGGTCAAGCCCACTACTATCCGTGTTGTCTTGAGCATTGCTATCTCCCGTGGTTGGTCGTTGCGTCAACTTGACGTGAATAATGCATTCCTTCAGGGTCATTTGTCTGACGAGGTCTACATGACTCAGCCGCCTGGTTTTGTGGATCCTGCACATCCCAAGTTTGTTTGCAGGCTTAACAAGGCTCTTTACGGTCTCAAACAAGCTCCCCGTGCTTGGTATTCAAAACTTCGGTCCTTCCTTCTTGCCCGTGGCTTTCAGAACTCTGTGGCTGATACGTCTTTGTTTCTTCTCACTACCTCGTCATCTCAGCTCTATGTTCTTGTCTATGTTGACGATATTGTGGTTACAGGCAGTTGTTCAACTGAAATCCAGGCTGTCATATCGGCTCTTGGTGCTCGGTTTTCTATCAAGGACCTTGGTGATCTCTCTTACTTTCTCGGCATCGAGGCTTCCCGCTCACCTGCAGGGTTACTTCTTACTCAGCGGAAGTATATTAATGATCTTCTTCATCGTGCTCAGATGACGGATGTCAAGCCCGTATCTACGCCTATGGCCTCGACGTCTCGCCTTACTGCCGTGTCTGGCACTTTGATTTCCAATGTCACTGAGTTTCGTGCCTTGGTGGGCAGTCTTCAGTATCTCTCTCTCACTCGACCGGATGTTAGCTTTGCTGTTAACAAGTTATCACAGTTCATGCATGCTCCTACCGATGAACATTGGCAGGCCGTCAAACGTGTCCTTCGCTATCTTGCTGGCACGCGGAATTGTGGTATCTTCCTCTCAATTACAAACCCTCTTACTTTGCATGCTTACTCTGATGCTGATTGGGCCGGTGATCGTTTAGACTTTAAGTCTACCGGAGCATTTGTTGTTTTTCTTGGCCGCCATCCGGTTGCATGGTCATCAAAGAAGCAGAAGGGCGTCGCTCGGTCATCCACTGAGGCTGAGTACCGCTCTGTCGCCACCACTGCTGCTGAGATTCGTTGGATTGCCTCTCTTCTCACCGAACTTGGTTTTTCTCCGCCTAAAACACCTACTATCTATTGTGACAATATTGGTGCGACGTATCTGAGTGCTAATCCCGTCTTTCACTCTCGCATGAAGCACATTGCTCTTGACTACTTCTTTGTTCGCGGCCTTGTTGAATCTGGTGATCTTCGTGTAACCCATGTCTCTGCCTCGGATCAGCTTGCGGATGCTCTCACCAAACCCTTGCCGCGCATTCCGTTTCATGATTGTTTTGTCAAGATTGGACTCACCTCCGGTGCTCCATCTTGAGGGGGCGTATAGAAGGATATTATTGTACTTTCAATACACACAATTAGGGTTAATACTTGTATAAATAACTCTCCTATTGTAATATGTTTCATTAAGCAAAGTTAATACATTATATCCCATACCTGAGGAAAATGGATTTGGTTTCAAACCATGGATACGATGATCTTGCTTTTGCTCTCGAGAAGCTCTTCGGGTGCACCGGAATCGGTTAGTAAATCTATACATACATATATATAAACACACACGCATAGTTTCGATGAGATGTTAGTGTTGTATAACGTTGTTCATTCGCACTCAAAAAATTCGAAAAGCCATATATATGGTCCATTAGGTGAACGAATACTTGGTTCATTAGCGCACGAACATGCATCGAACCGAATTGTTTAGAGAATATATATATACATGTTTATATTATGCGTTGGTATGTGTTGAATATGCATGGAACCGATATGAGGTCATCCATAGAAACAGTGCGTAGTTATAGCCGACATGTGTAAACAATGATTAAGGAGAAAGTACTTATGGTTTAAGATAGCTGTTTAATTTTTTTATTTCAGTTAATTAACGAAAACCACCTATATATATATATATATGTGTGTGTGTGTGTATGTATGTATATGAATACAGGAGTTGTGGCCTTGAAGGATGGAGAAAAGTGCGAGTACGTTACTATCTACGAGGATAAGGATGGAGACTGGATGCTAGCCGGAGACGTGCCGTGGCAGTAAGTTCCTTACTGCGCTTTTGTAGCCTTAACGATTAACGAAAAGATTAATATATAACAGAAGATGATCATTAATGTTATAGGATCATGAATGAACGATCGTAAAACGAAAAGATTAATAACAGAAGGTGATCATTAATGTTATAGGATCATGAACGAACGATCGTAACGATTATATTTCTCCAGGATGTTCATTGAATCGTGCAAGCGGCTGAGGGTCATGAAGCGATCGGATGCGACTGGCCTCGGTCTGTGCAGCCTAGAGGACTAGGAAATTCCACAGATCGATCGAGAGTGGCTTCGACCAGAATCGCCATCCGCGAAACCGCTTAATTTAACAAAAATTCTCAGACATTAGTACGATTTTCTACCATGTTTCCGTGTTATGATTGTGTTGTAAGATGGATGTTCAGCATAATTCTTCAACAGACAAACTATACATACATATTACTATTTGTTTCTTGAGTGGCAAATTAAGACATAATATCTTGTGTTTAACTTGATGGATATTGGATCTTAATTAGGAGAAAAAAAATATATTCAATCGTTAATCACTCCCTTCTTCCTATGAAGATTACATTTCCTCTATATCGTTGTTGTCTTTGCACTTTGCCGTAGTTCAATCCAATCACAGTACACAAAATCATTCGTTACGATTACAACATGTTTTTTTTTGTAACCCGATGTTCTGTCCCGAGACGCAAACTAATCACGAGGCCGAGAGCAAGATTACAACATGTTCTATATATAGATTTAACATTGTAATGAAACCAAACGTATATGGTATTGTAGAACCGACATTTGTACCCACGTGAAGAGAGCGTGAGATCAATTAAGACAGGACCTACTCGGTCGGTCCAAAGTGTATGAATGCCAACACCTATCACAATAAATAGTTGCTGCTGAAAAATGTGATATAACGACCGCCACAAAAGTTGTATACATCGATGTTCTCTACCAGCAAAAGCTCATCCACAAGTCTCTCGTAGCAAAAAAAAAAAAAAAAAAAAAAAAAAAGACAGAGCAAGATTCAAGAACATGGACGCACCACCTCATCAACAGGAGATGTCTTACTACGGGCATGTCAAGAAACGCCGTGACGAGAAAGGTTTCCTTTACGCAATGTCGATATATCGATCTCCCTCTCTCTCTAGCTCTTTTTTTTTTGTTCTCTCTTGGAACATATATATATATATATTTTTTGGTCAGATGCTTTTTAGGTCAAGCAAGATCAGTCAGTTCATATATAGAAGTGTGTGTGTATATATATATATATATATGTGTGTGTGTGATATTTATTTTTAGGGTTTTTATGTATGAAGTGTTCTTTTGTTTTTTTTTTAGGGTTTTTGCGTTGCTTTGCTGTTGCTGCTGCTACGAGACGTGCGAATGCTGCGTTGAGTGCTGCTGCTGCGCCTCCTAATTATCACATGATCTGTGTTTTCGTAAATCTTTCTCCATTGTATGTCGTTTCGAAATGTTACAGTGCATTTTGGATCTTGTCGATCGATTTTATCAAGTTTGTAATTGTATAAACTTTACTATATGTTATCGGGCAGTCGAATATGATTTATTGAGACATAGTTTTATCAGATTAATTTTGGATGAATTTGAATATATATATATAGAGAGAGATGTATGCTTGAAGATTTGGTCGAAAATGGGTTAATAATGACAAGCAATGTGAATGATATAATAAAATAAAGCCAAAAAGGAATCTTAGGCATTGATTTTGATTTTTGACTTAGATTACCAACTATACATTTTTTTTAGACTTGTACGGTTTTAATAATATATATTGAACTTAGATTATATTTTTGCAGATTCAATAGAAAAATCATTTTTGTTTTCACTCTAAAGGCATATTTGAAACATGGGAACCTAAAGATCCCATCAAGACGTTTGGTTTTGTCTTGTAACGAACATCTCCTTTCTCTCAAAGCATATTCCAATTCCATATCACACAATACCCTGAATCTACTCTATATATATATATATGTATATATGTATTAGGCATGCAAGATTCATGCAACTTTAATCAAGAACATTAAGACCCACAAGGAATGTATCCAATGATTCCAACCTTGGATTTCTCAAGAGAAGACTTGAAGCCAGGAACGAGTTACTGGGAAACAACAAGCAAGAACATCAGGCAAGCACTTGAACAGTACGGATGTTTCATCGTAGATTTGCATGAAAAGGCTCCGTTTGATCTCCTCGCCCGAGTTTTCGATTCTCTGAAACAGCTGTTCGATCTTCCGACACCTACCAAGATGAAGAACAAGTACGACAAGCCCATGAACGGCTACGTCGGTCAGATTCCAGCTCTTCCTCTCCACGAAAGCCTCGGCATCGACAATGCTACTTCCCTTCAATCCACCAGAAGCTTCACCGATTTGATGTGGCCCCGAGGAAATGATCGTTTCTGGTACGTACTTATCATCCGTATTCTTCGATATTTCCCCGAGTATAACGTCTCTTTCTGCAGTGATTGTATGCACAGATATGCAGAGTTTGTAGCGGAGATGGATCGGATGGTGGCAAGAATGATATTCGGGAGCTATGGAGTTGCGAAATACTACGAGCCTTATATGAAATCGACGAGTTACCTTCTCCGGCTGTTGAAAAACCGGGCGCCTAAGGACGAAAACCCTTATTTAGCATTCGTCACTCACACGGACAAGAGCTTCACGACCATACTTCACCAGGATCAGATCAATGGCTTGGAGATGGAAACCAGACTAGGGGAACGTATAAACGTCGATCTTTCGTCACCTTCATTGTTCATGGTCATTGCAGGAGATGCATTGATGGTAAGCAAGCCAGATTTATGATCTATACATGTAAGGTGACAAAAAACTGATAGTAATACCTCGTTTTCGGGACAGGCTTGGAGCAATGACAGGATACTGTCCCCGAGGCATCGGGTTCTGGTGAGTGGAGAGACGGATAGATACTCACTTGGACAGTTTGCATTCAGCAATGGAACTCTTCAAGTACCGGAAGAGCTCGTCGATAACGAGCACCCTCTTATGTATAAGCCTTTTGACCATATCGGCCTCCTCCACTTCTACCGTACTGATATCGGATACCGAGCAGAGTGTCCTATCAAGGCTTATTGCGGTGTTTGAAGGCATTCTCATGCTCGGGCCGAGTGTAATAATACCTGAAAGCTTCTATGCAATATATCAAAATAATAACGAGTTTAAGATCGAGTCGAGTATGCAGCTCTTCGGTTCTTCTGCTTCATCAAGATGAGGGTTTTGCAACAACAAAAAAAAAAAACATATAGAGTGATGCAAAATTGCCCAAATCTACAGATGGAAACATATGTAATAGATCAAGAAACATTATGACAATTATACTTACAAGAAACAAGTTCTGGTCACATGAGATGATCCATTTCTTTGATTTGGAATATGATATCTCTTGGCATAAAACCCGAAAATAAAAAAAGACGGTCCACAAGAGCTTACAAGAAGAGAAAACGTTGCAAGTCGGTAGAAGAGGTCACTGTATCATTCTTCGTCGTCATACTCTTTTTCCCGAGAACGATTTCCATTGACACCAACTGCAGAAACTAGTTCAGCCTCGGTTGGCTGATTCTGCAACCTCTCGTACTTTATGGAACGAGGCGGGAGAATCCTAAACCGCCCAATGATCAGAGCTTGGGACAGCCTGTCATAGTCCCATCTCTGCTGAACAAACACGATCACTGCTAGGAGAATCGCTGTAACGGGTATTGCGATATCTCCGAATTTGGAGAAGAAATCAAGATTTGGATTGACAAACTCATGGTCACCTCCCATAATAAACGGGTCGGGAATAGGATCGGTGATGTAGTCATAGATGTGAGGAAGAAGCCTGAGTGAAGTGATACCGATGTAATATAGTTTCCTCAAGGGCTGACACTCGATCTGCCACATGACATTGGCAATAACCTGCGGGAGCAAGAAAAAATCTTGTACAAGACCGATATATTCCCCTAATTCAGTCTGCCAACCACGTGGGACTGGTGGATTACCAGTAAATTCTGCAACTCTAACTGGCTCGGGTGAGGTAACTAAAGACTGTCCGAATATCTCAGGCTCAAGCTTTGTCTCTGCTGTTCTTGTGGAATGTACTATCAGGATAACTATGTACCCGACCAGGTGCAAGACCATGGTGATGAGAACTACTCTCCGATCGCTCGGAACCTGTTGCGGTTCATGAGGTGTTCGTGTCAGCAGCCTCTCACGGGACTTCCATACCTTCTGACAGAGTCTGAGGGTTAGTAGAAAGCAGACCAGAACGAGAAATTTGACGGTGTAATCGATCACATTGAGCCACTGACTTCTCTGAAGATCATATGAAGGAATCTCATAAGATCCTGAAGCTTTTCTCCTGAAAAGAGCCTCAGCTCCAGTGATCAAAGGCAGGCTATAACCAAGAGCCTGAACCCCAAGCATTACAAGAGACATGAACGGAAGCGAAACCGTGCTGTTTCTGGCGTAAAGGAGTTGGCTCGTAATGCAAGCAATAGCGAAAGAAAGCGTGAGAATCCGGAGGATGCCCTCAACACCAGCGCGAGAAAGGATGTCTTCCCTCTGCTTCCGGTAAAAGATGGGATAAGTTCTAAGCTTTACCGGTTTAAAGTAGAGAGGATCGTCCTCCGGTCTCTGGCTGGATATGGAAACACGAGCCGTTGGATCGGCCAACCACCGTGATTTGGTAGGTGGATACGATACAATTACCTCAATCAGACAATCCAACCCGGCTTCAAGATCATTACTATCGAACAAGATTTTCCACGAGGCCCTCACATCCCTGCAACCGACAAGATACATTTTCCCGGCATTCTCATCATAAAGACCCTCCAAATACAGCACAGAAAGGTTACCATAAGGCTCTCCTGTAAGTGAGATTTGTGCTGAAACATTCAAAAGAAGCTGTTTCTCGGTGTATTCAGCTTTGGTACGGTAAGGAGTCTCCTGTTCCACAGTGGAAAAGCCTGTAGAATTCAAAGAGAGTTGAAAGAACGGACCAAGTGAAAGAATATCCATGCCAAGATTAGTCCCCGCGGCAGGAAACTTGGAACGAGCATCAGAAAAAGCGGAGGTATGGATGGTCAGATCCCCAGCAAGATGAATATGGCTGAAAAAGAAATTTCCCGCATCTTCTAGTTTCGGGTACTGCAGAAAGGATTTCTTGATAATTTTCCCGAAGGAAAAAGGCTCGTTCTTTTCCAGAATAGCACCAGCTGCCTCGATCTTGGAGTAACTATAACGTGGGGACATCGATCCGACATAATTCGGCATCCCCGTAGCCTGCACCAGCTTCTCAAAAGACAGAGGGAAGAACGAGTTTCCTTCACCATTGATGCTGAAGAAAGTTCCGACAAGTATACTCCTTTGCCTTACGGAAAACGTAATCGGAATGTACAGACAAAGCCTGATGTTGCAGCTGCTTCCTTCTGCATCAACTTTCCCGACACACCCTACCGTGCAAAGCTGCCCGCTTGAAGGTTTCCAAATCCCTTCAACTGAAACAGTCATATTGTTAGGTGCCGATCTCCAAGCTGCAATATACTCATTCTCGGTCGGATGAACTGCCCGAAAAACGGCCGAGACCCTTGTCAGAAAATCAGCCTGAGACCGAGCTGCTGTTTCCTGACAATGAACACCTTGCATATACAGTTTCACATCCTTAAAGCTACCATTGGTCGATCTTATTTCTTCATCAGACGGGAATGGTCCCAACTTACCGCAGTATTCATCCGTGCTGTTGCACTTCCAGTTCGGCACAATTGTGAGGACACCATTACTAACTCTTTCAAGAAGTGAACAGAACCCTGTTCCGTTATAGACATCGATACCCGAACTCAGAAAGCTGTCGTTCTTATAAGGATATGAATCACAAGCCTTTGATACTAAATCCTCAGAGGAAAACTCGTAACGGGCTGATTCCCCGAGCTGGGACAGAATATGAACCTTGTCGAAATACTTGAGGCTAGTTTTCTGATTCAGACTTGTCATTTCTCCTTCTATTACCCGTTTTGTCAATGTGAATCTCTTCGGGTAACGAATGAGAACCAGAATCTGATCATCCTGCAAAAGAGGAGGTGTACCGGGAGAATGATCCCTCACCCATTTCCATGGATCTTTGGTATCCGAATCGGATTCACGAGAAGGTAACATCGTCTCCCCGAGCATACACATAACTCTTTCC